ATTTTCCATTGGAGACAAAACGGACGAGGCCAACCTTAGCGTTGCCCGCTACTTTACATTTTTTGTAAGGTTGGCTCTGAAGAGTATCTCTAGTGCAGTCACCTCATAAGAAGCTACAAGGCACTTCACTCCGGCATCTCCGTGAAAGGAGGGAACTCCAGTCTCCAATCCCAATTTCTAGGTTTCAATGAAAAAATCTCGGTCTGGAAGAATATAATATACTAGATTTTGCCCGCCACTTCGTCCGCGTGTCGTGTTATAAAAGAGAGATCTTTGTGTGTGTGGCAGAAAGGGTAAAAATGCTTAATTTTATTATTTTTAAATGAGTTATAGTATAAGTAGCTCAGTTAAATAATGAATTGTTATTAATTTGTAGATTATTAGTTTATGATAATTTGGTTTGATCTTAGGAAAATACTATCAGTGGAGGCTAATCCTTAAGCACCTATCTTTAGGCTTTCGTCTGGAATCCAGAGATGAGAATGTGGATGTCAGTCGGTATGAAAGTAAAAATTTGACCACATGAAAACTAAAAACCAGCCAAGTGCGAGTCGGACTCGCGCGCGTAGAGTTCCGTACAAAATTAACAAAAAAAATCACGTTTGTTGTATGGGGACCCCCCTATTTTTATTTTATTCTTATTTTCAGTATTGGTTGTTATAGCGACAATAGATATACATATTCTGTAAAAATTTCAACTGATAGACACGACAATGAAGTCTCAGTACGAGGGCGGCACTGAAAATTTCGGGAATCAAGGAAGTGAAACAACATTACTATTTAAAAATGTATTTATTGCTTTTTAAAGTATTCTCCGCGAACTTTGACACATTTTTCCATACACGAAACCAATCATTGAAGCAACCATTGCATTCGGAAGTTTGGGTCTCCAAAATGGCCGTTTTGTAGGCTTCCACAGCTTCTTCAGGTGATGAAAATCTCTGACCACGCAATTTATTCTTTATTTTAGGGAAAGTATATAAATCATTAGGGCTTAGGTCGGGGCTGTACGGCGGATGGACTAATAATTCTATGTTTTCTTGCTCTAAAAACTCTTTTGTTCAGTGCGCGGTGTGAGAACTCGCATTGTCGTGATGGAGGATGATGCGGCGGTTGCAGTTCTCTTTACGGAGTTCAGAAACGACCTGTGGCAAACAAATGCTAGCATACTAATCTGCATTAACCGTTAACCGTTCTATGTCCCCCAAGAGGAATAGTCGCAACATGGCCGGTTTTGGAGACAAACGTGGCCACCATTTTTTTTGCAACACTCCGTGAACGAACAATTTTTGTTGGCTTTAATTCATTTTCGAACACCCAAACTCGTGACTGGTTTTTTGTTTCGGGTTTGTACGCGTATATCCATGATTCGTCACCTGATACGATGTTGTATACAGCATTTGAGGATCCTGCATGTAATCTCTCGAGAGTTCTGACGCACCAAGTAACGCGAGCCGCTTTTTGCTCTTCACAGAGCGAATGCGGTATCCATCGTGAAAACAACTTTTTTACACCTAATTGTTCATGCAAGATTATTTGTATTTGACTCATGCCAATGTCTAAAGTTGCCTGAATTTCGCGGTATATCACATGTCGATCTTCTTCAATCAGCTTACGCACAGCATCAACGTTTTCTTAGGTGACTGCAGTTTTTGGATGACCTTGACGGGGATCATCATTGAGCTTGACACGTGCACGTTGAAATTCAGGAAACCAGCGATAAATTGTGGTTTTGGATGGGGCTTCATTACCAAATGCAGAAATCATCCGGTCAACACACTGTTTTTGTGTTAAACCACTTCAAAAGTCATAATAAATCATAGCTCTTGAATTTTCTCGAGTCAATTCCATTTTCTCAACGACTAAACAAGTTTGACAAGACCTTGTGATACGACCGAGAATCTTTTATTAAATAAATAAATGGTATACGATTTTTAAAACCCTGGAGTTTGCAATTAAATATATTTTAATATGACTGGAACAGTGGAAATATTCCATTCCCGATACTTTTAGTGCAGCCCTCGTAATAGGGCCCCGTTTTCACCCTTTGGATACGGAACCCTAAAAAGAGTAGCATGGAAGAGTGGTTCGGTTGGTGGGTGGCTGGTGCAACCGGGATATGGGAAATGTATTTAGAAAACATATTATTTATAAAATTTCCTTAAGCCGGGTTTTCACAGTACGAGTTGGCCCGGACCGACTGGACTCGTACGAGTTAGGTCGTATGGTGGTTTTCACATCGAGTGTTCACTGCGGTCCGAGTGACATTCGTATCCCTCCATCCGAGATGACGTCGGGTGATTTGCTGCTGAGAGGTGTAGAAGTTGTAGCAGATATGTTAAATTAGAAGAAGTTCAGAATCACGAAAGGGAAAAAGAACGAAGAAAGAGACAAATTTGGACCCGAAAATGGGTTTTAAGACGTAATGAATTTGGTGCATCAGATATTTTTTTACGTGAAACTGAAGAAGAAGATCCAAAACACTTCCTCCGCATTCCACAACAGTTCCTCCACTTCATATAGCTCCACAAACCGCAAATTATCGCGTTCATTCCACTTTTTCTTAGTTGTCGCCATTTTGATTTTCTGAAAACCATCCGAGTAAACTCGAAAAGTTGAGAGAGAGACCGCCGGATTATACAGGGTGGAAACAAGAAGTAACAAAACCCAAAAATTCTATGTTACCAGCTTCCATAATCTGTAACCTATTATTGGTACCATTTGAAAGAGCTCGTGAAGCACTTTCAGAATCAGTAATTAGTTTTTCGATATCTTGTATAGTTTAGAAATAATCGAGTGAGATCACTTATCGTTCCAAATGTATAACCACCCTGTATAATCCGGCTGTATCTCCAGGTCACCTAGATACATTCCATAGCAGCTGTAATAGACATTTAGGTACATACATTTACCAATTTTGGTGATAAATAGGCATTTTGTATTAGTTTTTGTATAAGGCCTGAACAAAAACAAAGGTTAATATTTTGGTGTTATACATAGATTTCGAATATAAAAAATATATAATTTAACTAATTAAGACATGGCAAAAAAAATGAGGTATGTCTCGTTTCTGTCGGGCCTGGGTCACAGATGACCGTTCTTCTTTATTTAACTGTATTTTTCTGGGTATATGACTATTTTAAATAGTATATTTGAACAGTTGCCTGCTTTAATATCCCCTTTTAAGAGCACTCGCATATTTTTAGTTAAGTTAAGAATTTCAATAGACGGCCATAAAACTGATCTTTTTAAACATGCTTTGATCTCGTCTGCCCAAGTTCCCCTTGGTACAACCGGTAATGTTTGTCTGAAAATATCCGGCTAACATAAGTGTCAAGCCACCTATCAGAGAGTTACTATCTCTCACGTCTTGTCCTATTCAACGCCTCAAAACATTTTTTATGAGCCATAGTGCTTTCATCCCAGATTATGATTTCAGCTCTACGTAAAACTTTGGCAAGATTGCTTTGCTTTGGAATTTTGCAAATTAGGGTTTCCGAAAAAGATAAATTAAGCGGTAACTTTAAAGCCAAGTGAGCAGTGCGACCTCCTTCCAATAAAGTTGCTGTAATCCCCGATGAAGCGACAGCTATGGCAATTCCACGATTGCTTCTAATCTTTGCAAGTATCAAATTAATGAGAAAAGTTTTTCCAGTTCGCAACCTGCTTGCTCTCTATCTGTCTTTTGAAATAATATTATTGCATGAGCGATAGAAGTAACTTGGTTCTGTCGTTTTACTGTTTGTCATGTTTGCTTTTCTTTAAGATTGAATCAAGTAACAATTGCAAAGATTGTGGAATATCCTCGTCACAGTTCTTTAAAAAGCGATAGGGATTTGGGTAACCATCAAGGCAATAAACACTTTTGAACGGATATACCTTCTCCAATTATGTATGCCGTTGCTCTAACAACTCGTAAGCGTTCTTCTTCCTCATTTGCCTGCTTGGGTGTATACCATTGCTGGGACCAAGTTTTGTAATCTGTGTTACGGAAGCAGATTACTGTTTCGTGGTTTTGACCAACTGATGATAATTTCACTCCCTTAATAGTCTTGTAACCTTTTTTTAGAGATTGAGAAATCTTTCAAGATTTATCTTTAAAAGAAAACTGGCATCCATCTTTTATGCCCTCTAAGTAGTTGCAAACGTACTAAAAAGCTGTAGTGACTAGTCTGGAATGGCCCAGGCTAATATTTTCACTGTCAAGAAGTTTGCGTAATAAAGTATGATTTCGTTATGTTTTGTTGCTTCCAGATAGTTTATTGAATTTTATTGCTAATGAATTCCTTTTGTTTGAAAAGACCAAAATAATATTTTGAGTAGTTTTGTAACTTAGTAATTAGAGTTGCAATATTTGGTTTAGGAGTCACCTGTCTATTTAAACTCGCGTTCCAGGATTCAACGGCTCTATTTGTTCTATGATAATGATATCAGAAAGTGTTACTTTTAAATTTTACTCATTAGGTCCGCGGACTAGATTTCCGATAGGGAATATACCTAATCAAATGTTCATGTGCTATAAACTGGAAGGGTCACCAGTGTTTTCCACTAACTATACCTACACTATAGAAATTATCTGCGTACAAGCTATAATAGCTTTGTTCGTAAAAGCCCATATTAGATGTAGCACTACATTGTTTACATGTTTCGCAAAATGTTTATCTATGTCACTTTCCTTTTACATACTGCTTAAATTTAAGGTATTATCTCTATAGAACATTATAGATACGTCGACTGTCAATTTTTATTCGTAGCATAATATATTTCAAGTAATCTTTTATTAAAATACTCGATAATGGGGTCTTGAGAATATGGTATTTTGCAAATTTGATTATCAGTGAGCGACGGGTTTTCTATTGGCCTATAAATCACTCTTAGAAATAAATACTTTTTTACTTTTTTTACTTTACTTTATGTCATAATAGATCGATGCAAATTACATATAATTTTATCGTTTCGAAGTAAACGATATGTGACGGGATCCAAGCTCTCATTTTCAGGTTCCAGAAAGGCTTATGAAGACCACAATTTATTCTCCGATAGAGGAAACTTTTTATGCGTCTGGAGTTAAAGAAATAGATGCAAATGGAGAAGAAGTGGAATCCTTACCAACCAGCCTTATACCTCAGTCTACTACGTACAAGTAATCTAAACTAATTTTACTCTTACCCAGAACTTCTAAAAAGGCTGATATTAAATGTTCGACCTGTAAAGTATCTACAGATGAGTTATAGAAACAGACTTTGTTTATCCAGTCTAATTAATTTATTATTAAAAGAACCTGATTACTTTTATGTATCATACAGGGTCGATGTGTATTGGTGGGGTCTCCGTGACGTCAACATCACTAGGAAACCGTGTGCTGTTCTCCAAATAGATGAGCTTACAATAAAGTCTGACATAATTTGCGATAAAAAACCCAATTGCAATTTCCCCAACGGACGCATCTCTCAGACTTTTGAAGGCCCTTTAAATGAAGCTTACAGGTCAAATTTGGCTGTCAAGTTATACGACAGCGGTACTTTTGGTCGAACCATGTTCCTCGGAACAAACGTCATGAAGAACCCTAACAAGTACATTGTGAACTGGATCGCCAAGAGTGAGAGAGAGGCATCTCTGAAATCAGCATCTATTACGTCGTCAAACTTTTTACAAGGTAATTATTCATTTTTATCATAATCCATGGACAAAATTAACACTTTGTATTGGTGCGGATTCCAAATAGTCTTGAAGACTTAATTTGTGTTAATTAAAATGAACTATAATTAAGAATCAAACGAACTTACCTGTGATGTTTGATATCTAATTATACGAGTGTCTTGACCGAAGATGATTATGTTTTACATGCAGCAGTACCTGGGATGATGCCGTCCTTATCACACTTTTAGAGAATATTTATTTAAAAATATAAGTTTTAAATATAATAAAGTACGTGTTTTGACTCCTCAGCACCGTAGTACATTCCGCGGTCCGCCATATTTCTTGTCATTATTTTAGAGCAATTTTTTTCGATCGGTTAAGGGTAATTGGACCCATTTATGCAAACAAGAACCAACCCACAGCAGGGTGGTTTCGAGAAAATGAGACTTTTGTAAAAAGAGTGCGCAAAATGCATACATAATATATAAATGAATGATTACTTGTTAATCTTATGTGGGATACTGCAGCCTATCTAGGAATATCAGATTTATAAATTTTGTAAAGTTAAAGTTAAAGTAAATCGTTAAAAACCGGTTGGTTCTTTCTTGCAAAAACATTTTTTGTTGCTTAGTTCCTTCTTGCAAAATGGATGTAAGATTTCATTGTTGTGATATATCTGTTACGGCTAAAGATAGGTGTGAACATAGACTTAAGATTAGCCGGCTAAACTTAAGTTTATATTCGACGAGGTGTTAATGTTAGTTTCTTCTATCTTTAGCCGGCTAAACTTAAGTGTAACCGCAGCACCAAGTAACGCGAGCCGCTTTTTGCTCTTCACAGAGCGAATGCGGTATCCATCGGGAAAACAACTTTTTTACACCTAATTGTTCATGCAAGATTATTTGTATTTGACTCATGCCAATGTCTAAAGTTGCCTGAATTTCGCGGTATATCACATGTCGATCTTCTTCAATCAGCTTACGCACAGCATCAATCACGTCCACGTTGAAATTTAGGAAACCAGCGATAAATTGTGGTTTTGGATGGGGCTTCATTACCAAATGCAGAAATCATCCGGTCAACACACTGTTTTTGTGTTAAACCACTTCAAAAGTCATAATAAATCATCGCTCTTGAATTTTCTCGAGTCAATTCCATTTTCTCAACGTTTAAACAAGTTTGACAAGACCTTGTGATACGACCGAGAATCTTTTTTAAAATAAATAAATGGTATACGATTTTAAAACCCTGGAGTTTGCAAAAAAATAGATTTTAATATGACTGGAACAGTGGAAATATTCCATTCCCGATACTTTTAGTGCAGCCCTCGTATCACGCATGAAAATCGTTTATTAAACCGAGGGAACTGTAAACAATACGAACGCCCCCAGCGTTTATTTCATGTAGTTTTAATATAGCGCTTTTCCAAAAAAGGTGTGTAATCTGATGGGTGTGTCCCATTACTTCTATTAGGTATTTCTATTGATAGAAATACTGGTACTGATTCTCCCACTGTTTCCATTGCTGGCGGCAGCAGCGGCAAAGACACTGCATCACGTCTTATGACGGGGCGTGCACATAAAAACTATTTTTTTCCTCTTTTGATCTTCTTCTTCTTGTCATGTCCACAATAGGCATACACAGCGCGAGCGTCAGCCCTGCTACAAGAATGGCTTACCTCTTTAGGTAAAACCTCTTACCTCATTAGCAACTACCCTGCCAATAATATTTTTCACAAAATCGCTTAAAAGCACGGAAATTTTTCCTTGTCGCGACAAGATCGGTGTAATAAATTGCGGAAACAGATGTATGTTTGTATTGAATTAAGCATTATATCACGTGCATGTTTCCAAAGATCAAACTCCCACAAGATATGGATGGGCAGACTGCTCATGACTGACATCATCAGTGAAAGACTCGCAAAAAGGAGACGGAACTAGTTTGAATTCGTGAAGTTTATGTTTAAAGTTGCCATGCCCCGTGAGGAACTGCGACGAGCAATGGTCGATTTCTAACCATCGCCTAGGGTAGCACAGCAGCCAAAGCCATGCTTCTCTTTTTATTTTTTCCTTTTGTCACTTTCAATTTCATTGCTTATCTCCTAAGTGCTCTCGCGTAGTGATAAAAGTAGGTAGCCTTTTACTGCCTGCGGAATTTCTTATCGTACGCATTGCTGCTGCGCCTAATAGTCCGTCACAAATTGTTGAGATTATTATCATGCCAATAAAGGCGTTTATTTCGAAGAAAGTCCAGGTTTCAAGACACGGTTTGGTTTTGTTCTGCGTTAATATAAACGCAGAACACTCAAATGCAGTTTGAGTAACAAGTAGCTCAATCTCTTAGTGGAAAAATGTATAGAAAAAACTTTTAAGCCTATTCTGCTTGGAAAATACTGTCTGGATTGAAAAGGAATGCTTTCGAAAATGCCTATATCAGGTTTCTGGGGAAATATCTGGGGAAACATTTGTAGGTTGAGGCGAAGGAGTTCGAACATAATAAAGAAGCTAGAAGTTGTTGTGCTCTGGCGAAGAGATTCTGACATTACAATTGGATCTGATGAAAGGACAATGACCAAAAATGTATGGAGTGTGGTCCAAATGTCCACCACTAACGAGACCTATGTAGTAAAATAGTCTACTAAATACTGATTCATTATAACCAAACCCCAATCAAAAATATGCTGTCAGTAAAAAGTTATGACTGAATGAAAAGTCTGTTTTTTACCTTTTCATCCGAAAAATGTTCTTGATATCATTCTATCTGTTAAAAACGATGGAGTGGACTGTATTATAGTGATAGGCAGGCCGGTGGTGATATTAATATGCAGGAAGCAAGGAAACACCAAAAAGGGCCAAAACAGTAGGTATATTGCAGCTCAAAACATTATTACACAAGAGCGTACAAAAGGCAACTTCAAAAATCAATAAATCTAAAACAATATTTAAAAAAAGTAAAAAACCACAAACAATTATCAAAAAGGATTGCTGGCCAAACTGCCAGCAACAATATCCATTGCACATTTTGGACTAATCTACGCATGTTTTGTCATGTCGCATGTGGCGCGGGGTTATAGATGAATTTTATTAAATATTATACTAGCTGTGCCTACGATTTTGTACGCGTGAAAATAGTTTGAATAATATTTCCCATTTTTACAACATTTGTGTTTACTGCTCCGCCCCTATTGGTTGTAGGGTTATTTATCCTAAAACCATCCTTGATAAATGGGCTATTCATAACAAAAACAATTTTTCATATCGGACAAGAAGTTCCTGAGATTAGCGCGTAACTACTACAATTTTTCAAACAGTCATAACTTTTTACTGACAGCCTATTTTTTTTTTCGTCCCATACTGAAAGTTAATCTCTATTAAATGGACTATAAGCCAATATAGGTAGGTCTCATTAGTGGTGGACATTTGGACCACTTTTGGTCATTGTCCTTTGGGCTAGGAGTGTTAGCGAGTAGAAAATCTTCAAATTCTTTTGGCTGATTACAATACATTTTACTTTTGATAGGTACTTATAAATTCTTGTTTCTCAGTCGATGTGTTGCAGAATTTGCTGGTGAAAAGGTTAATTAATTATCTTTCTGAAGTTTACATACTATCTCAGTATACTGCTTCTGTATGGGTGCGTAATTGTTCATAATTTTATTACTGAAATTATCAATCTCTTTCTATACCTGTTTCGCTAAATTGGGCGTGCACGTTATTAAAAGATCCTTACTTTTTGAGATAATATTTTTTCGATTATTGACTATTATTCTAAAAATAAAATACATTTTATAAAGAAAAAAACCAGTTCATCCGCTGGCAAGCTACCGGTGGTCAGGGTCACAGACTGAGGAACCTCCGAACAATGCGTGCCGTGCTGAGGATCACCCACGGAGTCTGGAACTGGTCGCCGACATTCGTTTCTTCGTCGGGTGGTCGCCTCTTGACGTGTCCGTACCACCGCAGACGGCTCTCCTGCAATTTAGCTGGGATAGGTCTCACTTTAAAGGTGCCTCTTATGTGTGTGTTTCTTACATGGTCCAGCCTAGTTACACCACCTGCGCATCTGAGCATCTTCATCTCAGCGCAGTGCAATTGGTTTTCGTACTGCTTTTTGAGCGGCCAGCATTCGGATCCGTATGTCATGGCTCTGACGGCCATCAAGTTCTGGCCATCAATATTCATCAAAAATTAAAAGCAGATAATTCAAAGTAATAAAAAGTTTATTCGAAAATCGCATATTTTACGACCAACAGTCTTTATTTAAAGAAAAATAGCTAACATAATATTGACGACAAATATGAAATATAATATCTCAGCTTGAATTTAAATTACAATTAAGCAGATCAACATTAACCTATACTACTTTATGCGATGAGTACTGGAACAATTTTCTTTTCACAACACCGATTTTTTTAGTATTTGGTTTCGATGGAGGCATTATAATCGTAACTCTGAAAATGAATAGACTACTTATATCAAAATAGCTAAGAAATTAAATTGAAAAATCACGATAAAAACTAAATGGCCAAAAGTGGGGTTCTACGTGCACCACTTTTGGCCAGCCATGTGGCCAAAGATGGGAAAATTCATTCATTTTGGCTCCATTTGTGGCCACCTCTCATAAACTCACTTAATAAACAAATAGCGATAAAATATCATTAGTACCACTTAGACAGTGTATTCTTTATGAAGAATTAACATAAACATTTTAAAAAATAAGAAGGATTTAAAAAATAATGATTGTTTACTCACCCGCTCGCCTTAGCCTTTTTGCTAAGACTTAAAACAATTTTATTAACGCTCGTCAAAAAATTATGACTTGTTGGATTGAAGTGAAGTTTGACACATCAAAGCTGTCAACGCTATCAGTGTTGATAATATTAGATATTTTTATTCCCGAAAACCACAGAATAATATATTTGTCTTTGCCTTAGTTATAACGATTTGAAGTTCTAAATGGCCACAAAGGGGTCGGTGGCCACAACCGGGTCACTGCCCTACGTCTGTTTCGCCTTTTTTTTGTAGGATATCCTTTTGTTTTTTATGCATAACAAGGCAGGTATTTGACCACAATCGCACCTGATGTTAAGTGGGATGCAGTCTAGGATGGTACATATCTGCCCTGTAAGTGCTTATTCACTCTCGCCTTGAAGAGGCCCAGATTATAGTTTTCGGGAAAGACAGCAGCAGGCAACGAATTCCAGTCCCTAGCTGTTCGCATTATAAAAGAGTCATCGAAACGCTTAGTGCGAGCTGGTGGAATGTCAACAATATAGGGATGGTACGCTAACCTTGGATATCCTTGGACATTTTACACTGCGATTCTAGTCCCAAACTAAGCAAAGCTTGTACTATTGGGACGAGACAACGGATATAAACATTCTTAATTACTTTTTTTTTGTAAATACATACATTTTCTATATAGTAACACCCAGACCCATCACAAAAATTAAAATTCATCATTTCAATTTCTGCCCGGCTGGGAATCGAACCCGGGACCTCTCGGAATAGTAGTCCGTTCTGAACCACTGCACCAAACGGCCTTCACAAGGGATAGACGCTGGTAGCAGAAATAGGACTAGTAATTTACTGCGTTTTCAAAATCATAATCTTTTTCAGGACTATGAAACAGAAGATAAAGCAAACTTGTCTGAGAAAATAACGGTAAATATGAGACTCAAGCAAATAATACCATCTCACGTCTGTCAAAAGAGTTCTAGTCTATAAGAATCTTTCTTGATTTATATTCAATCTCTGTTGACAATACCATGAATTTTTACTATTACACTTGCAAGTAAATTCAGGAAGCAATTAAGGTTCCTTTTTATTATTATCGATGAACTTTAAAACATCTAAAAGCCTTTTATAAAAATTCGCCACTTTTACATAGAAATTCACCCTTCTGGTTACAGTGCCATCTGGCAGCCACATCGTATTTCTACTTGTTCCAATAAGCTAACGGGGGCGATTTGAGTCCGTAAGCAGCTTGTTGAGTTGCTATATTCTGCCATGTTGCACAGAGGGCGTTTTACAACCATTTTGAGTGTTTGCACCGACTTTTGGTGATTATACTGAGAAGTTTCATAAATCAAAATAAATGAAAATGTTACTTAAATGTCATTTTATTATCTGGCGGAAAATTTTTCGGTCCAACCAAGGAGGCGACCAAAACTCAATGAATAACCACACGTTCAAAATACGCTTACTTAAACTTAATTGCTCTCGTTTGTTTCGCCAATTTTAGTAATAAGTAAAAATAAAAAACACAATGTCAAATTGTATTCTTTTCCTATAGATATACAGTTCAGAATTAGAGCGCCAGCCAGAGTTCTCAAAGTTCAAAGACTGGTGTTCTGCCTTGAAGTTCTACAACGGTATGAAGTCCGGCATTCCGGAGAAGGATGAGCAATTATACTGCGGCTTCCTCAAGGTCGGGATAGCGATGTACAAGTGGCCTCCGCCGAGCGACACCGTCGCCGTCAGCCCCAGCGGGGTGGAGTTGAATAACGGGTTAGGTTAAGCCTATACACCGTGTTACTTTGCATCCTTGCCATATTCACAGAGATAAAAGTAGGGACCAATACCTGTTATTTAAGATAAACAAGAGACTCCCATAAAGAAAGTACACTGAGTTTTTAGTAAATTTGGTTTTGCAGTACAAATTGGAATAAACCAATTTTGTCTCGCACTTTCTACAGGTGCAAGTGGAATAAACCTAGTGGGCGTGGCCTAGTTCTTATCAATCTGTGATGTTTTATGGCTCTGGGTACCAGCCTTTTTATCCAGTCATAATAATTATTTTAAAATACTCTTCAGTTGATTTTAGATTTTCCTTTCTACTCTCAGTTTCTACTTTACGGGCTTAGGACCGTCAAAAATACGTAATAATTATTAGGCTTTTAATTAATTTATAACATTGTTCCCTATTTTTACAAATTAATAAATTAAGTATGAAATGAAATCACCTTATTCACAATTAATTATTTATTTATGAGTTCCTACTTACAAAGTTTACGTACTGCGAAGCAAGTGTTCAAAGTGTCCTCCGTTCTGATGAAGGCACAGTCTAGCACGGCGAAGCGTAGGTATTTCGCTTTAGTTTTCGCAACACATAAACGTTTTGTCTCACAGTTTCGCTGAAGCAATCCTTTCACGTAACACGTTTACACTTTTTATCTCTTCTGCGCATACCAGGTCGTTTCAAGTCACTCCAAAAATAATAGTCCATTGGTGTTAGGTCCGAGGATCGTGGTGGCCAAGCTACTGGACCCCCTCGTCCAATCCACTGTTCACCAAACGTATTATTCGCGCACTTGACGTCCTTATTGTGGGGGAGCACCATCCTGCTGGTAGTAGAGCATTTGGTGTAACGCTAAGGGTACGTCATCAAGCATTTCATTTAAGACGTCTTGCAGACACTCCAAGCACCATTTTGATTAAATTATTCGTTGTTTGAATACACTTCAGTCATTTTTGTATTATTTATAACGTGATTTGTGATTGATGGATTTCTCAATTTTTTACAAAAGTGTCAAAAAGACATTTTAAAGACAATAGATTGCAATGGATATTTAAAAATACAATAAAAAGTAAAAAAGTCTCCATCGCCATCGCTAACAAAAGTGATGTGCATGCGTTACGATAGTTAGTGATGTGTTTAACAGATTGTCGATAAAATAAAATATTCAAAATTAAAAATCAAAATTTTCGGGCATTATTTTTTAACGGATTTGTGTTCAGTATCAGTAATATAGTTACCTCTGTAAATATGGCAAGAATGCAAAGTAACACCCTGTATAATAATAATAATTCTGACAGTTAAAATGTCCTTGAACATTTTAACAATGTTATTAAGCTTGAATATAGGGAACCAGACAATGGATATAAACTGGAATTTTACCCCTTACATAAAAATCGCCCGCGTGTTCAACCACTTTAAATGTAGGTAATTTAAATGTTTGCTATTTATTACTAAACTTCAGTTTAGTGTTCAACTCGCGTATTGTATTAATAAGGATTTAGCTCTTAAGCCCTAAGGTATTGATTGATGAATTAATATAAAGCTATTAATCACATTCACGGTTGCAAACATCGTCCGATTTCTACATGATCATCCATCCACCTGCAGATACTTTGACGATATGCCTAGCAACGATCCAACCCAATTTCTGGTGAGGGTATATTTAGTGAAAGGGATGGACCTCAAAACAAAAGACTTCACGGGACAATCTGATCCGTATGTTGTGCTCAACTGTGGCAAGAAACGAATGGGGAATAGGGAGGAATTTGTCAAAAACACCGTTAACCCCATATTTGGGAGGTAAGAATCAAAATAAAATTCGTCGTATCATGTTTCTTAAACATAGCTAGATAGACATTATTATTTTTCCAGAATGTATGAGTTTCGATGCACAATACCTGAAGACTACCGTCTGAAGGTTTCTCTCTATGACTACGAAGCTATTCAACCTGATGAGCTGATCGGTAGCACAGAAATAGACTTAGAGGACCGGATCTATACAAAGCATAGAGCTCGTATCGGATTGTCATCAGAATATAACCTGTGATTATATTTATTACCTAACTTAGCACGAACACGAACCACATTCTAGGTCCAAGCTTGGATTCTTTAACTTACCAATAACAAATAAACTCACATGTTACAAAATAAACACGTCCTTATTCGAGATATTTTATTGATGCAGTATTTTGCAGAACGGGTCCTTACAAATGGAGAGATAGCATGAAACCTTCTGAAATCTTGGAGGAGTTGTGTTTGAAGAACCATCTAGCATTGCCTGTATACCCTGATATGAACACTGTTATTTTGAATGGAGTGGAGTACAAAGATAGCGAAAAAGGTATCAATCATTCTTACCGTAACTTTTTTCTAAATCTTTCTCCTTCATAATGCAAAAATCTCTTCCATAAAGGTTTTTTTCCTATTTTTGATTATCATTAAATGTTTTTTTATAATGAATGCATCTAATGACAATAAAGATTTTTACAGATAAAGCATACATTTCAACTTCAGAGCGAAAAGAAAACATCTGCTTGAGCCTCCTTCATAAGTGGCATACGATGCCATTGTGTGGTTACCATCTTGTGCCTGAGCATGTAGAGACTAGGATTCTATCGAATCCTGAGAAGACTGGAGTTGAACAGGTAACAGCACTCGAATCATAGACATAGTCTTTCAAGTCTTCTAATTTGTCAGTGGTCGACTATTTTGACTTTAGCGAAGTAGTTTCGAAGACTTTTTGGCATCAGAACAACAAAAAAGTGCGAGTGAAATACCACTTAACTCACGTCACGCCAAATTATGGGAGATTATCTGTTTTAACTTAATATACGCGAGGTAAATTTGAAAATAAAATCGTATTCAAACTTGACGTCAACCAGATTGAAACTTGGGATCCGGTGCGTCCATGGCAATTAACCACGTCACATCACCATAATCTGTCACATGTAAGGAAATACAATAATGAAAGTTGAATTGATCGTATTTAGCTAAGGTTTTTCATTATCATTTTTTGTTGTAGGGTAAAATAGTAATGTGGGTAGATATGTTCCCACTTGACACAGAGCTGTACATTCCGCCACCAGTGGACATCACCCCGCGGAGCGTTGAGGAGTATGAACTAAGGTTGACTGTTTGGGATGCTCAGAACTTGAAGCTGGATGACGGTTCGACCACCAATAAGAAAGCACCGGACATTTATGTGAAAGCGTATGTTTTTTTTTATCTTTATTAATTCATAGCTCGCTAAGTGTTGATGCAGTCTACTGGACGTAGTAAGCTTAGCAGCCCATAGCTGTTCGCAGCAGAAAAATCTTTGCACAACACTTTGTACGCGCAGCAGATGGAATGCCACATCGAGAAATCTATGCCAGCTGTATAATGTTAATTTTCAGATGGATAGGTTCTACCAGTCAGGCACAGGATACAGATATTCATTACCGCTGTACGAATGGCGAAGGAAATTTTAATTGGAGGATGGTCTTCAATTTTCAATACCAGCACGTTGAAAGGAAGGTGAATACACCAAAAAATATTATAATGTAATATCAATGCTGGGCTGTCTTTCTGTAAGACCACGTTCTTGCATAAGCGTAGTATAACTAGCAGAACGTGACCTTTAACACTGTCCATGCATTACATGTAATGCACTGATGAGTTAGCTCGGTACGTCCGTGCATGATATACTAAACACCAATATTCAATACTCCCGGAAAACATTCCAGGTAAAACTACCAAATGACTGGACTATAATTTCATTTATTGTCAAACATAAGTCTTTTTTCAAAAATTTTCGTCAATCATTTTTAAATTCTGACATTCCCATTTCAAATGAACCTCATTATAACATGAAAGATAAAATGCTTTATTACAAGCTGTACATTCAGTATGTACTTGTTTCGCTCATTTTCGGGCATTAGAAGCAGTTTTTTGGCTAGTCATTTTTTTATAGCAACCTGTACAGCGTTTTTACACAATCCTGCCATTGGGTTTTCGGGGTATATTCGATAATTTATGTGTCATATTCAGTACTGGCTGCGTTGGTGATGGATCTCGTATGTTCAACAACTTTTGTTTACAAAAATTTCTTGTCATATTTGTAGTATTTATTTCATTGAATATAATTATTGAATTTCCAACTGCAATAGAAAGAAGATCTATTGCGATCTTTTTGTACCTTATGCAAGACTTGCGTACTGGTGAATTATAACCAGCAAGTTGGTCAGACAGGTCTATTCCTAATTTTCCTTAGTTATAGTCCATGATCATTTCTGTTTTCTGTCGGCCGTTTGGTGTAGTGTGAAAATAGAAATAAATTATAAATACAATCATAAACAAAATAAAATTGTCAATGTCATGACCATTTCGACGTATTTTGGACAACACTATTGGTCGGCGGTTGAAGTTCATAAGTCCGTGCAAGGCTTAAATAATGCACTATTGGACATGGATTAATTGTATATTGACAACGTCTGTTAAGATTTATGGTCATTTTTGTAGATTGTCGTAAAAGAAAAAGGACCTTTTACTGAATATGAAGAACGCGTTCCACCAGTTCTTGTTGTCCAAGTCATGGATTCAGAAGCTGTCTTGGCTGATGATTTCTTAGGTATGTTGTGCATGCATGTGTAAGTTCTCTTTCCCAATAACCAGATCCATTACCTAGCTCTAAACTTAACATGGTTGAACAGATGACTAAAATATTAACAATTTAAACTGAAAGATCCATTCCTAATTATTTTAGGCACATTAACACTGGATCTTAACGCTCTGCCCAGAGGAGAGAAACTAGCTCGTCAATGTACTCTGGAAGCAATGGAAAAGGCGAAGAAAATGAATTTATTTTCAATGAGGTCGATCAGGTGCTGGTGGCCTCTTTGGACAATCGATTCTAATACTGATAAGAAAACTCTTGCGGTTAGTACCTACACCAAAAATGTTATTGGGCTATGAATTCAAACCAAAATCTTTAGTTAAATCTAGTTGACTTTTGAATCAGGAATAAGTTTACATTGATTTTAGGGGGTAATTGACATTGAAATGACATTACTACCTAAAGAGAAGGCTGTGTTGATGCCAGTTGGATTGGGAAGAAGTTCTCCCAATCCTTTACCAGAACCAAAGTGAGTAAGTGTTTTTCAGAATAATTAAAATATTGCAAAAATAACATTAGCTTGATTCTTAAAAAGACGTACGCGTAAGTGTAGTGGTAAAGTGGGTTGTTGGTTTCATATGATTAATATCCTTGCAGGCGTCCAAGCCTATCTTCAATTATTATGAACAAGCTCTGGAGCCCTGATGAAAGTCTTCAACTAACCATGAAAGTTGTAGCTATTCTGATAATCCTGGTGTTATTATTACTGGCTGCGATATATTTTGATGTTATGCCCGACATTGGATTTCAAAAGTGGACAAGATTTGTTTTCCGAAAGTAAGTAGGTATACTTCATTTTGACCTGACTGAGTTTTTATAATATTGAACATTCTGCGAACTGACCATTTTGCGAATTAGGTAGAACTAGGTACCTAGCCCTGGAATTGAGTTAGAAAATGAAAACTATTTAAACAATAAAGAAACCCTACGTCATTTGATACTAAGATAAGCTCCATGGCACACGTTTAGAAAAGTTGTGCTTAGCTTGGAAAAATTAATGATTAAATTCCGATTTGGCCGATAATACAAAAAAAATGGCTATTTCCGGTAAAAATACAGCAGCTCATTACTTCACGTTATTTGATACCGATGTACTACTTATGGCAGCAGTTAGGACAGACCATTGCTCGTCGCAGTTCCTCACGGGGCATGGCGACTTTAAACATAAACTTCACGAATTCAAACTAGTTCCGTCTCCTTTTTGCGAGTGTTCCACTGATGATGTCAGTCATGAGCAGTCTGCCCATCATATCTTGTGGGAGTTTTATCTTTAGAAACATGAACGTGATATAATGCTTAATTCAATACAACATACCTAGATCTGTTTCCGCAATTTATTACACCGATCTTGTCGCGACATGGAAAAATTTCCGTGCTTTTAAGCGATTTTGTAAAAAATATTATTGGCAGGTAGTTGCTAATTGCTCATAAGATAGGCCCCCTTAATTGATATTTATTGTCCGTGGTGCATAATCTTTTCTTAAAGGTTAAACTTTTGTTTGTCACCTGCCATCCGCTTTGCAATTGAGGGAAGTCGAACCTCTATTTCGAACTCCTATGTTCTTCTGATTAATTTCGTTGCGGGTCCAATGACAGTTCAACTTACTCACGGGACAAACTTGACCTTCATTGGTTGGGTTTTTGTAGCGGTCAAGCTGTAGATCCTGGCTACACAGGAGTTGCAGTGGTGGGAACGAGAGATGGGAATAGTCCCGTTTTTATGGCAGCAGTTACTAATTCATTGGTAGTGACGGATGAATCCAGTTTTCCACTTCCTACGTATATGGCCGGAAGTACTTCGCAGACGGTCTCAAAGATAGCGATTCGGACCCCTAATTTGCGTCATGATACAAAGATAAACATAGTGCCAGATGATAGATATCAACTCGAAATTTAAGTATAAATTTCGAGTTGATATCTAAAGCAAAGGTTAATATGGCCGAAACATCCCATTAATTATGTCAAACAAAACATTTCCATTTTGTTTTTGTACTTTCGGCCAAATAGGAATTTCATCATGATCATTTCAGCCATAGGACGTCCACTGCTGAACATAGGCCTTCCCCAATGACTTCCGCATCGCACGGTTGGTAACCGCCTGCATCCAGCGCCTTCCTGCTACCTTTATCAGGTCGTCGGTTCACCTTGTGGGTGGACGTCCCACGCTGCGTTTTCCGGTACGTGGCCTTCACTCCAGAACCTTGCTGCCCCATCGATTGCTCAACGATTCAACTCAATCATCATCATCATCATCGTCATCTCAACCATAGGACGTCCACTGCTGAACATAGGCCTCCCCCAATGCTTTCCATGCTGCCCGGTTGGTAGCGGCCTGCGTCCTGCTCCTTCCTGCTACCATTATGATGTCGTCGGTCCACCTTATGGGTGGACGTCACACGCTGCGTTTTCCGGTACGCGACCTTCACTCCAGAACCTTGCTGCCCCATCGGCCGTCAGTTCTGCGTACTATGTGCCCTGCCCATTGCCACTTTAGCTTGCTAATGCATCGGGCTATGTCAGCGACTTTAGTTCGTTTACGGATATCCTCATTTCTGATTCGATCTCGTAAAGAGCTCGTTTTCTCATATCAAACTCCTGGAATGTAAAGGATTCGGCATAAACATTAACGGCGAGTACATCACTCACTTTCGGTTTGCCGACGATATTGTTGTCATGGCAGAATCGCTGGAAGATCTTGGCACAAAGCTCGAAGACCTTAATAGAGTTTCCGAATAGGTTAGCCTGCGAATGAATAATATGGACAAACAGCTCATGTCCAATGTCCTTGTTGCGCCCTACCAAGTTTCGGTTGGGAGCTCAATCCTCGAAATTGTTGACAAGTATGCCTACCTCGGACAAACGATTTAGCTAGGTAGGTCCAATTTCGAGAAAGAGGTCAATCGTCGAATCCAACTCGGCTGGGCAGCGTTCGGAAAGCTACATAATCATACATCGTTTCGTCCAAAATACCACAATGCCTCAAGACGAAATTCTTTATTCAGTGTGTTACTAGATAATTTCGTCTATGCGTTACCAGTGAATCGGAATTTAATAATTATTTTTTCAAAGCTTAGAACAACCTTTCTGAACGTGTGCCATGGAGCTTATATTAGTATCAAATGACGTAGGGTTTCTTACGGTCCCCTCTCGGACTGTATGCTTGATATCTACACTAATATTATAAAGAGGAAAACTTTGTTTGTTTGTTTGTTTGGTTGTAATGAATAGGCTCAAAAACTACTGGACCGTTTGTAAAAATTCTTTCACCATTCGAAAGCTACATTATTCACGAGTAACATAGGCTTAATTTTATTTTGGAAAAAAATAGGGTTCCGTAAAATATGTAGATAATGTAGCCCATGCGCGCTAAGCCGCGGGCGGAAAGCTAGTTATTAATATTTTAGATATTTCAAAACGGACCCTGATCTTTGAAGCCAGTGAAAGTATTCATTTGCATCACATTAAAATTAATATACCTAGTTTTTTTTATAAAGGTATTTTACCGCCATATTGTTTTTATTAAAACGTTATTTCAGGACCGAAAAAAGAATAAAACGTGAATACCCCACAAAAATGATGAGAAGCTACCAAATAAGTTAGTTCAATCAAATCAATGAGAATAATTAACGCTTGTGAATTTGTTTAGGTTGTACAATGTTTTCTATGTAGTACTTACTTATTTATTTTTAATATCGCTATTGTTAATAATTACTTTATTTTTAGAAACTTGTAATTTTTAAGCAACTATTAAATTAGTTAAAGAATTTTGGTTGCTTTTCACTTACAAACAAAGCAAAGAATCAACTTAAATAAATAATATAATAATAAATAATAAAATGTTTATTGCCATTAAATCAATGTAAATGTTATACTTACTTTTTATGAAAGGACTTGGCCAAAAGTTCAAACAACATACATTTACCACTTTGGAAATGTCTCTCGCGCAAACTATTCAGTTTAGAAAAAAATATCCCATCAAAAACAATACTTGTCAAAAAAAACAAGTCTCGCAACTCAGTTGTTCTACGGTAAAAAGTTGTGAGATCCATGTAATACCAAGTCCAGGCCAGGAAATCTTTAACGTTTTACATCAATTATTGACTTGGCCATCGCACTAAATAATTTAATTTATCTACACGTGTTTTCATGCGATGGCCAAGTCAATATATTTGTGTAAAACGTTAAAGATTTCCTGGCCTGGACTTGGTATTACATGGATCTCACAACTTTTTACCGTAGAACAACTGAGTTGCGAGACTTGGTTTTTTTGACAAGTATTGTTTTTGATGGGATCTCATTTCTTTATGTATTTTGTAGACAGCAGTTGTGTATCTAGAAAACTGGACCGAAATTGAAAAATTTTACTCGACTTGGCGGTTGCACTACCGTGCCCCCAAATATTTTAGTTTTTCCTTGATTCATACACCAAACACTACTTATATTCCAAATTTGAAGCTTCTAGGTCTGCTAGAAGTGCCTTAGAGTTTTGATGATCGGTGAGTCAGTGAGTGAGTCAGTGAGTGACAAAATTAAGTAACTTTGACCCGTTATAATTCTTAAACTACTGGTTCAAATTGAATGAAATTTTAAATATACCGTGTCTTTACAATGCCTGCATAGCTAATGAAAATTCCGCCTTCTAGTTTTATCCACAACGAAGTTCCAGGCGGTCGAAAATGGCCTGAATTGCTTCGAGAAAAGGATGGTACGGCCGTGCCGCTTTTTTGCTCGACTTCAAACAACATAAAATATTAGAAATCAATACAATATCGTTTTTGATGACTGTAAATATATTTTTTTATAATATTTATAGATAAATGTACCTATGAAACAAAATAATATTATGATGTTTTATTTTATCTAGCTGTGCCCGCGAAAACGCTCTCGCGCGTCAAAATATTGTTTATCGTTTTTTCAACATCTTTCATTGAAGCTCCGCTCCTTGATGTTATTAAGCCACAGCCTTCCTTGATAAGTGAACTAAATATCCATCATAATAATATTTTTTCAATTCGACCCAGTACTTCCTGATATAAGCGTGTTCAAGCCAATACTCAAAATCTAGCACAGTATAATAATACACTCAATATCAAATAAACCGCACCTTCCGCGACGCGAACTTTAAAAATTTTCTTCTGACACAATCATGGTGCCCCAACAATATTGGTGTTATTTGAAAGCCCAATAAATATCCTTAAAGAAAAACACATTTAATTTCTAAATAAATGATTATCATATACCATAAATGTGACTTGAAAAGAGACCTCACTTTGGGCTCACCTCTGGGATCAATTAGACCAAATTTTATGGTTATAAAACCAAATAATGATCACACGTGTCCTCTTTAACAGATGGATACTGATTAATCCCAACTTAACAGTTTTATAGCCATAAAAGTTAGCTCAAGCGTAACGTTTTTGCTCAGAATGCCAACTTCTCAAAATGCCAACCGCTCGCAAAATGACAACTTCTCAGAATGCCAACTTCTCGAAATGCCAACTTCTCAAAATGCCAACTTCTCGAAATGACAACTTCTCATAATGACAACTTACAATTATAATGAATGCAGGAGCAGTGAATGCTACCACAAATAATAAAAATAATTAAAAAGTCCATATATTTACAATAAACAAAATATATTTATTTGTTACTATACAATCAATCAATACACTAGGGTCGTATCGCATTAATCTCTCATCTCAAATGTCGATTGAATGACATACACCTATATAATTGTAATTGTTACAATCATTGCCAAAATCAGATAAACAAAAACCAGCTACGGTCTAACAGCAAAACAATTATTTTACTGGATAAACTAACACATTACAAGGGCGATATAATTTTGACAAGTATAACTTGTGCATTTTTTACAACTACCCTCATAACGTAACATTATTTTCGCCATACACTAATTTATGATTTAAAGTGTACTATGACCTTATCTGGTTTTTGTTTATCCTATTTTGACAATGATTGTAACAAATATATAGGTGTATGTCATTCAATCGACATTTGAGATGAGAGATTGATGCGATACGACCCTCGTGTATTGATTGATTGTATAGTAACAAATAAAGATATTGAGATATTGTAAATATATGGACTTTTTAATTATTTTTATTATTTGTGGTAGCATTCACTGCTCCTGCATTTCTTATAATTGTAAGTTGTCATTATGAGAAGTTGTCATTTTGAGAAGTTGGCATTTTGAGAAATTGGCATTTTGAATTTTGTTCAATTTCTTACAAAACTTGCGCGCAAAAAGCAAATCTAGTATGAAAATCATCAAACTTCTAATACTCGTAACTCAGTTCAGACTGAGTTTAGAGGTATACATGCCGTAGTAAGTTTGGATTATTACACTATTTTGTAATCAAAAAACAAAGTTTGGTCGATGGCCGCGCGAAAAAAAAAAGACGCCACCTTTCATACAAAATCTGGCATTGCCATTTGTTCGTGTTCCAGTTCTCAAGTTATTCAGAATTTTGCTGGGGTAATGTTTTGTGATGTCCCAGATCTCGTAAATGGCTCAACGCAGAAGTTTGAAAAAAATACCAATAATAGACCTTGATATGTCCAAATTAGTTCAAACATTAGTCATTGATTTGAATGATAAACACCAGTGTAATTAAATGATTTCGAAAATCAGATAAAACGGATTTGTGAGTAAACCAGTACTCTTACAATCGAATAAAAAGGTGTAGCATGTACCCTTGGTACACCTTTATTACCACAGTAAATATAAATGATGTGGCTTTGCGCAAAAGAGAGATTTCAAGAAAGGACAATGACCAAAAATATATGGAGTGTGGTCCAAATGTCCACCACTAACGAGACTTATGTAGTAAAATAGTCTACTAAATACTGATTCATTATAACCAAACCGCAATCAAAAATATTATGCTGTCAGTAAAAAGTTATGACTGAATGAAAAGTCATGTTTTTTACCTTTTCATCCGAAAAATGATCTTGATATCATTCTATCCATCGCACATTTTGGATTAATCTATGCATGTTATGTCAAGTCGCTTAGTGTGCCGTGTTAGATTCTCGCTAAAAGAAAAAAAATAAGCTCAGAAGAAAGACAACAATATTGGAATTATGGTCGGGTGGTCGCTGCTCCGCCCCTAGTGGTTGTAGGGTGATGTTATACAGGGTGTTTGGCGCATCGTGTGCCAAAATGATTTGGCGGATAGAATGGGTCATTTCCTATATTTTCAGCCCCCATAACACGTTCCATGTCAGGCGGCTACTTTTATATTAAGTTTTTTAGTAATTTCACCAAAATACCCAAATCGCATCATTTAATTTCGATTTAAAAAAAAACTACTAAGCGAAGCGTAGCCTCAAAGTAAATATTTTGTTTTGACGTGCATTGACATAGGGTTCCATCAAATTTAAATTTACTGGCAAATATCATCTAGTTTTTTTTTAATTCAGCTTTGAACTTTTCCGAAAAGTTAAAAATGGACTGAACATTTAAGTTTACATGGCTATAAAAATTTTTTTTAAAGAGATAGCGATCTTCGGATTTTATCAAAACTTCTCTAGTCTATCCCCATTCAAACGGTATACTAATCTTATTTAAATAATAACAACAACTTCACAAATTCCCTAAATTAGTGCATTGACTCTATTCGGACTGATTTGCGAAATTTGTGTTTATAGCCCCTTTTTGTGTGAATAACACGTTAAATACCTACAGGTAAAAAATATTTATCTTATGCAATGTAAAAAACCTTTTCTCTATCGTTTTTCAATGTGGATTTCTTGAAATTAAAGACGAAAATAATTATTTTGATCGTTTATTAATTATTACAAATTTTGTTCAAAATGTCCGCCTCGGCAACGTATACACTCACGACATCTTCGACTGTTGTCGTATGCAGCCTCATTTCTCTTTTTATTACTATAAAGGCGTTTTCTATTCGTTGTTGTAGTTCTTCTAATGTTTGAACTTCCGTTACGTACACCAGTTCATTACCTCGTCCCCAGACGTAAAAATCTAACGGAGTTAGGTCTGGGGAACGTGCAGGCCACTGTATAGGGCCAGTCTAAATTAGAAGAAGATGTCGTTACTTAGTGTATACGTTGCCGAGGCGGACATTTTGAACAAAATTTGTAATAATTAATAAACGATCAAAATAATTATTTTCGTCTTTAATTTCAAGAAATCCACATTGAAAAACGATAGAGAAAAGGTTTTTTACATTGCATAAGATAAATATTTTTTACCTGTAGGTATTTAACGTGTTATTCACACAAAAAGGGGCTATAAACACAAATTTCGCAAATCAGTCCGAATAGAGTCAATGCACTAATTTAGGGAATTTGTGAAGTTGTTGTTATTATTTAAACAAGATTAGTATACCGTTTGAATGGGGATAGACTAGAGAAGTTTTGATAAAATCCGAAGATCGCTATCTCTTTTAAAAAAAAATTTATAGCCATGTAAACTTAAATGTTCAGTCCATTTTTAACTTTTCGGAAAAGTTCAAAGCTGAATTAAAAAAAAACTAGATGATATTTGCCAGTAAATTTAGATTTGATGCAACCCTATGTCAATGCACGTCAAAACAAAATATTTACTTTGAGGCTACGCTTAGTAGTTTTTTTTTA